TACCATATTGAAAAATATACTATTTTTGTATGATAATTATGGGTTTTGTATTTTATTTTAATAGAAGTTGATGTTGCTTTTGCAATTATCCATCAATTTTTTAAAATTAAACACTATCTACAGATTTGCATCGAAGCGTTTCTTATGATAGTGATTTTAATCACTGTCAGATTAAATCTATACTGGACCCTACTATGCAATGTCTCCACTATGCCGCGACCCCACTGTGCTACCGTTTTTTTACTTAAAATTGCCATAACTTATTTAAAAATGAACGAATAAATATAATAGTTTTTTTTTTTTATTAATTGATTAAGCATATATTATTATTTAAAGTACATGCTACATATAAAAAAACGCAATCATACAAATTCAGTTGACAGGCTTAAAAATCTACTTTTTTATAATGATATTCACATTGATAGTATTATATACATAATAATTTTTATACAATGAGGATAAATTTGTACAATGCATAAAATTTTAGATATAACAAATATTCAAAATTATAAAATTTTTTGTAATGACGGTATATTTGCACCATTTAAAACGATTAAGTACAAATGTTAGTAAGTACACACAATTGTAATATTTTATATTCTAAAAGGCGCATTTAAATTTACTATTTTGAGAAAAAATAATTCTACTTTAGCTTAGACTATATAATAAAGACACTAAATAGATAGCTAAAAATTGTCTTTAGTTATTTAGTATAGTCAACAAATAATACCTCCTATAATAATAAATTATAATCAAATTATAAATTTTACGCTAATCCTTAAAAATTATCACTTTATTATCACAGGTGGAACACCATTTAAAATAAAATTGCATATTAATAAAAATGAACATTAAGTAAATAAAAGTATAGACAGAAACATTTATAATAATTCATCCTAACAATTGACGTAAAACTAGAAAACACATCAATGAAATATACAAAATGTTGTAACAATATGTAGTTGTTAAAAATTCTTGACAATAGCTTAATTAATGCCTAAAGGCATTAATATTACTTATCTATATTTTGATTTTTAAAATTTACGATAAATAATAATTTATAAGGAAGACGAAATCTTAAAAAATCCACAAAAATAATAACTTTGATAGAAATATATTAGTATAAATACATGATAAAATGAATAGGATTTATATTAAAATCACGGGAATGTATAAATTATTAGCTAAACAAATTAATCATTTATTAAAAAATTTTTATAAAAAAATTACACAATAGAGATATTTTGTATTTTACATTGTTGTTGCACTGTGTTGACCAGATGATTTTGTAAATGAATCCCCTAAATTATTTGTATAAATATTCAGCTTTGTGTTACCAAAATCTAAATGTATTAATATTATTAAATTTTTATATATCATTAGAGAATTTTAAATGACATATTTTCATTATTTTGAATCAAGACTTAAGGTAAGATATAATTTTAATTATATATTTTTGGATTTAATATTAATACTATAATTTTTTGTCCAAATTATTTTGCCTCAGTATAAGATATAACTTTTTGACTAGTTGAAATAAAACATATATTATACGTACATAGTTTATATAATATAATTATATATACATAAATTAATGTTTCGTTAATAATTTTCATGGAAAAAAAATCGAGTATCGTCGTCTCTAAATATAGATAGTATTTACTTCTAATCTTTACATAACGTAGACTAACATTTAGTACCATAGAAAAATCATAAAAAAAATCAAAATTTAGCAAACTTCAACAGAACGTTGTAACGACTGAATTAAAATAAAAATTTTTGGTGTCAACATTTTTTTTTATAACTTATCTATAAAATGGTTATCTTCAAATCTTAAGAAAATTTTAATAAAAAAGGGTTTTTTTTAATTGCGAAAAATAACATAAAACATATTTTTAATATAATACTATAGCATAAAAATTGACAAAAAAAAAAAAAGTATAAAATTTCATGTAGATTTTAAGTTAAAAGAGTTGTCAGTTAGATCTGTTCCACTCTGTATATATATTTTTTATTTTATGATTATTATTTTTTACAAATTGTAACATAATTTGTCACAATTCGTTTTTTTTTTATTGGTTTCTTTTCTTAATTATTTAAAAAATTACTTAAATAATAATTTAATATTTAATTCAATAGTTTAAAATGATTAAAAAGTAACATAGAATATAGCATAATTAAATGAAAATTTATTTAATGATTTATTTATTAATGATTTTTCTTGTTTATATTGTCTTGTAATTAGGATTTTACTATAGTACAAATTGGTGAATTAAATCTAAAATATTTAACTAAAAATAATTGTAATCCTTATTTTGGTCAAGTTTATAATTATCCTAGATCGTTTTTCATTTAGTATGTGTTACTAAATGAATATGATAATATCTTTACAAACAAAATGTTTGTAAAGATATATAATAATATATAGTAATAAGAAATATTACTCAGTTATAGAAAGTATAATGTTAATGTTTATTAGTTTAATTAAACAAAATCAATATTTTTATTATTGTAATATATCTTTTTATCATTAACGGTATATGTTCTCGCGTATACCAAATTTCTAGTAATTATTATAATGCTTTCTTTGAACTATTGGAAAAAAATAGTATTCTCGCCATTTTTTTTTTTTAATGGTAATGATTTATAAGCTACTGATTTAGAGTATTTTAAAAAAATATAGTTACTGAAAATATTATTTTGATATGAGATCACACAAATGAAAAAAAAATGCACCAAATTTAGAGGTCACATTATTTTAAAATCTCCCAGGGCCTCTCCTGTTTTTTTTTCTAGCGTTCCAGCTATTATGAACCGAACCATTCCATACTCTGCGGCGTCGACTCGATTTGGCTGCTGTGTTGTGCAATTGCACCGTTGGCCGGCGACGATTGGGTCCCTTAGAAAACGCTTTAGGTCTATCCACCCTAACGCCGCCGGCTGTATGTTAATCTATATCTTCGTCCGGTTCGAGAAATCGACGCCAAGGCATAGCGTTATTACAAACGCCTGGCCCTCGCCACCATTCGTTGATATTCCGATAGTGTTTAGCCGGATAATTGTCATGCAACACTGCACACAATCTACAAAAGAACTTGGTGTCTATAAATTCACCTGTACCCTTCCATCGGAAGTACTCATTGTACAAGCTGTCATCACTATCCAATCGATGTAAATACTCGGCCAATGCTTTGGGCGATTCGTAGTCGTCGACGTGCACATAGGAATGCTTAGGTGCTATCCTATCATAATCCTCTCTTCGAGCTCCCATCACTATTGGCAACACGTTGTGTCTGAAAAACATTTTAATTCATTATTCTTTAATTAAAGATTTTTTTTTCATTATTTATATACGCCCGATTAGGCAAAGAATACATATAATACAACATCAAAACAGAAATACAAACATAATTTTTTATATTAACTAACCTAAAATAGTCCACGTTTGATCACGTGTATTAAAAAAAAATTCAAAATTAGAATCATTCAATTAATTTCCCACAGATATTAAACGATTCAAAACTGTAACGAAATGGTGCAACATAAAATTACTTTGAGATTCGAACATTTTGTCTTGGAACATGAAACTGTATAATATTCAATATTTCTGAACAATTTATCTTATTACCCAATAAATTAAGGAGCCACATAGCATCTAGATAGCAAGTAAAAGAAATTTGTATACATTTATCAATATTCAAGACGGTTTTTCAAACACCAATTACGGAATAAATAAAGTCAGACTTCATCATTGTAACATATAAGTTACTTTTAATTTCAGAAAATAATTTCAAATATACAGAAAATAATAGTTTTTTCAATAACTAAAAACTAAACAAATATCGTTAAAAAGTAAAATAAACAGATATGGTGATAAATAACCCACTTAGAGGACACCTGAAGTCACATCAATTTGAATGAGTCCCTGCTAATCAAAAATAAAAAAAACTATCAAAAATGACTACAACCATGACAGAGGGTCTCTAATTCTCATTATTTTGATTTTATCTAAAAGAATATAATAATTCACCGCATCAAAAGCTTTACTAAAATTAGTACGTATATGCAATACGTACAGACTTCAAATTTTGAAACTAAGAAATTTGTATTCTACAGTAAAAATTTAACTATTTTGATATACTAATCATAATTTTTGACCAAAAATTGAATAACAGAGGCCGTTTTCGGGGGTATTTTTGGTCAAAATACTAAATATACGTTAAGCGACCAGTAAATTTTTTTTTTTTTTAAATCTCAAATTTTCACAAATTATCTATTTTAATGTATATAAAAAAGTTAAAAGGGCTCTCATTAAAACTACGATAATCGACATTTTTTGATCCACCTTAATGTGCAATTTGGGTATACAGTTTTACAGGTTCTTTTTTTTTAACTACTATATAACTAGAGTACGTATTTTACGTGTTATATTTATAAAAATAATTTTGAAGAAGAATAAAAATGAATTTCAACCCCCACCAAAGAAACAAAATTGGTGTCGCTACCAATATTTTTAATGTTCTGGCGGACTAGTCCAATCTTTTCTTCAAATATTTAATTTTAACAATAATTGCTCATTAAAAATGCAAAATGACATAATAGTAAAATTATAGACCCTAAAATATTGTCATTGTTATTTGATTAAGAAAAACGTTTTTAATGTATGTAATTATATCGAACTTACTGTAGTCCATTGACGAAAAATTTTTCTGTGATATAATCAGCACAATTAGAATTTTCAAATGCTAAATAGAATTTGTAATGTTCATCCAACATTTGAAAACATTTGCCCGACCTAGGGCACTTTAATTTGCCACAAACACCATATACATCCACAGATATGTACTTAGACAACTCCCTAGCGTAATGTAATCGACCGTTTTTTGCACCACAATTTGATACAAACCAAGCCACTTGCTTAGTTTTATTAAACGCGTAGTTTCGATCCAGTTGATCTTTCTGGGTTATTAATGGGTCATAATACGCCCACCGTTCATAAGGTGTCACTATGTCGCTATCATGTCTGTATGTAGCCGTCCAATTGAACACATCGTTGTAAGTTATAAGCTCTGTATGGTAAGGTGATTCTAAGAAATATAAAATCCATACCTAAAAAAATTAAGAAAATTGAAGTTTTGGATATTTATATTACCAATTGAGTTTTTGGACGTTCATCGTTTCCGCTAAACCGGTAGTTTATACCTGTCTACAAATAGAAGTTTGAGAACCACTGATTAAAATATTTGCCAAAATAACCCGATAATGATTATCTACTTTTCATTTAATCGAACTTTTTCCTATTCTATTATTGTTAAATAGCAATGCATTGATAATAGGTATATCGATAAACATTTTACCATTCATTCTTTTTTATTTAACTTTTTTAATTAAAATGTCATTCTAATAAATTAGAAGTGTAGCCAACAAATGATTTTATTGAATAATTACAAACGGGTAACATACGTTGCCGTTGTTTTGTAAAAGAATGCAAAGGTACCATATACGCGAATGAGCTTAATAAAATTATTGAACAAACAGGTATTTTTTAAATTTTTAGCAAAATTGATTATATTTGATCCTGTTTTAAATTAACTTTAAAATGTCTTCTAAAATATAAATGTAATGGTCCTTGTTCTGATCCCATAATTATGAGACAAAAATTAGCAGGCGCTTTTAATCGCAAAATCGTAGATTATATTTGTCAAAGACCACATAAAATAATTTTAGGGTAAATTCAATCATTAAGTAATAATAATTTTACGACAACAGATGTGTCATGTATTCGCTAAACTATTTATCGCACTATTTTTTCCTACTAAAATCTTAAATACAGACCTGAACGTAACATTGAACTTTTTAACAAATAAACGCCGAACATTTTGGTACAAGCAGCTGCCAACCCGTACGCAAAACCGCCACTGGCTCGTGGTGACTCATGGATAAAACTAAATGGTTCTCAAATTTTTTAGTAGACAGACAGATAGAAAATCAGTTTGTCGGAAACGAAAGACCGACCTTATTCAGGTTTGGTGGAAACGATAATTTCCCGAATTTTTAGGTTCTGGTAATAAATCTAAAAATAGAATCAGTTGGATTTACATGCCTATAATGCCTTCATGCAATTACGTTATTGGATAAACCCTAGAAAAATATTAGGGGTAGGAAAAGCGTTTATAAAATAATTATTAAAAATTGAGTTCTATTCACATATTTTAAATTTAAGAGTAAAAATTATTAATTAGTATATTTTTAGTAAGGGAATATTTATGTATGGTTTTGTTTAAAAATTACATTTTTGGAAGTTAATTGAACCCTTAAATACCCTTAAAGTATTCATTTATGTATCATACCTGTCTTCCGGATTTTCTATGACCAGGATGGGAAAAATGGTCTCTGAATAAAATTGCGTCAGCATGTTGCGCTTCTGACTTTTTGACGGTAATCTCGCACCTATTTACTGGACAGCTCTTTGTTATAAACACGCCCTGACCTTCCTCTACTATCCAATTACTTAAACCATTAAATAATAAAATTTTTTTCATTGGCTCATCGTCATACTGATAGTGAGGTGGAACAAACATAAGTTGCTCTTCCACGCGGTCGCCATTTTTTAGTTCTTTGGGCCATATTTGAGAAGTTCTATGACCCGTTTTTGAATTAATAAGAGCTCTACGAGGCTTTAAAGTTCCATCTAGAAACATGTATATTGTAAAAATCATATCGCTTTAAGAGAAACGCAATTGAAATCTATAAAGAGAGAAAGTAAGAAGAAAAGGAAAATTTTATTGCTAGTTATTTTTTATATGTAACATCATAAAGGTTGACAAAATTATTAACATAAATTCGCTAAAAAAAAAAATGTTAATTATAACTCATACTTTATTATTTATAATAGAATAATAAGTACTGATGTAATATGACAGTTTTTTATAGCTCAACAAATATTATGAGTTAAGGTATGAAAGAGAGCTTGATTTGGCAAGATAGTTAAAAAATACATCACCTTTAAAATACCATGGCAACTCAAGTTTTGAAATTTGTTTTAATTCGTTTAATGATGTAGAATCCAATAGACTGTCCAAATACTGCTACGTTTTACATAAATTAATAACATTCAATTAATAATGTTGTTTACTAATCGTTTTAATATTTATGTACTGACGACATGCATCAGACAAGTTATTATGATATTATTTCGAGTGGGTCTAAATAAAAATTTCATCCATTTTATGCAATACAATCAAGTTTAACCTCAAAGCTACTATGTAATTTTGAAAATTTTCGAATGGGGTTTAGACCTCTTACACTCCCTTGTTTATGACCATAATATATGTATATATTATAGTTACAATGCCGATTTAAGATACGTGTAAAGATACAGGCCGCTGTAAAAAATAAAAGAGCTCTCCAGAAGAGATAATCTAAAATGAACATTTTTTCGTAAAGTTTTTACAATCAGATTATGTATTATATAGATTATATGTCAATATAGATTACCATAGGTACAATTCAGTATTCTTAGACCACTCGAATCATGTCTTATATCACAAAAATTACGAATATTACATTTATTTGTATACACCCAAAGAAAAACCTCAATCAATTTTGATAGAGAAATTTTATCAAGGGTTTATAATAATGCTTTATTAATACGAACAAAATAATTATTGTTCAAGACAAGAAAAAAAATCATCATATTGATAAATATATCATAGATTCAATAGTAATGATATATTTATCAAATTGAATAATTAATTTATTATATAGATCGAGGTTTTTCTCTGGGTGTAGAAATTTATTTTAAGAAACTTTTTATTCAAATTGCGTTTATGTAAATTACATTACGCTAATGGTAATGAAATTGTATTATTATTACTACATGTAATTCCATTTTTAATATTAAATTTAATAAAGTAAAAATTTATATTTTTAACTTAAAAAATTAAAATTTTATATTTTATATTTAATATTTACAAATAATTGCTTTCATGAAATTTTTGTAAACATTTACATTGTTCTAATTTTATGCGTATTAACGAAAATTGACAAATATTTTACTTTTGGTAGCATTGAATAAGTTAAAAGAATATAAGTTAAATTGTAAACAATATTTCCCCTTTCTATATGTTTTAGACTTTTTAACTTCGATGCGAAGCTGAGAAGGTATTGGTTTTACTAAGATGTGTTTTTTTTTTTTGTGTCTGTTACCACTTTTTCTCAGCTCTCACCGAACCGATTTCTTTCAATGATACGTCAAAAGATCACAAATCGTATCTAGTCGTAGACATTACCCTCAAAAATTGAAAAAAATTCCCTCGTTCCCCGTAAATGGGGGAAACCTCCGAAAAAATTACAAATTTAAAAATGGCTAATTTTCGAAATTTTTTCAATTTTTTTTACTGAAAACTGCCGTAACTTTTTTAAAAATAAACATATCAATATAATTCTTTTTTTTATAGATGCATGATGTCTTTACCTATCATTTGGTATATTTTTTTTATAAATTTGACTTTTTNATCTAAAGATTTGCATTGAATCGTTTTTTTTTTATAGTGATTTTAATCACTGTCAGATATCATTATACTTGATCCAACTATGCCACGTCACCACTGTGCCGCGACCCCCCTGTGCTGGGTTTTTTTTATTTNACTGTGCCGCGACCCCCCTGTGCTGGGTTTTTTTATTTTTAAGTTATTCAAGAAAAATTGAATAACTAAATTCTAGATATTACAGAAAAGGTTTTTATAATTTTGAAACAAATAGCTTATAATTTGCATGGGTGAAATAAGGATTGAAATCCAACCCAACCCCCTTAACCCACTTTAAATGTATTTAAATGAGTTGGTTGTGTATTATATTACCTGGTTACTGTAGTCCGCTTGAAATCCTGTCCTTAATCTCATGGCGTCATGTCCTTCGGTAGCTAATAAATAGGCCGTACGACCACTATGAAGAACAATGGCAAATAACGCCAAACAAAGTAATCCGTACAGCATCCGGCGAATCTGGCGACCGGTCATAATTTCTTATATTAAGTCCCGGCAACCACTTTTGAAGGGTTTTAATTTTCTGCAAAATTATTTCGACAATCTATGAAATTTTTTATTTAAATGTAATTACAATGTTATAATATTAAATTCCAAAGATGGAAAATGTTTTATATTTATTATGTTTCATATTTTGGTAATTGGATCTAATAAAATTAATCTAGAGATTTAACTCAACATATTTAAATACTATTTTTCCAAAAATACAAGTCCAAATATTATTTTGTTCAAAATATTTTGTCTAATAAACAAATGTCTTGCAACAATTAACTTGGTCGACTAGATTACAAGTTCAATAAAAATAATTGTTTCTATGACTTGGCACAAATAATTTTTACTGTAAATTTGTTTTAACGATGTAAATCAATAAATATTTTAATCAAAGTTTATTCAAGATTATATTTGTCTAGAAAGAATTTAGAGTTATAATATAGCATATGTATAGAATTTTGATATTTTGTTTCCATTGGTATATATTAATAAATAAGACGCAAAATTATTCTAATCATTTGTATTATGACGAACATTTTCTAATGGGCAAAAGATCTCCTTTTAAATGCAGCACAGATTATTAACTAAATAATGAAATATCGCAAAGTTTAAGAGTTTCAACGTGCAATTTAGAAAATATGCAATATTTGAATATTACGAATAAGAGATATTTTATTTATGTATTAAATTTAATTATTTTTCATCTTTTTGTTGTTCATATAACATAATAATTAGTTCCCCAATACTGAAATTATTTTTTTTAAAGCAATTAACAACACTAATAAAATAAAAGCATATGTAGCAAGACTCAAAATACACAAAAAATAACTTGTAATTTTTTTTTTTAAATATTTGTGTTTCACTTGGTCATCTAAAATGTATTACCAAAGCGATTTGTTGCATTTTTAAAAAAATATTTTTGGAATGTGTATCTAAATGCCATAACCTTTTTATTTGATTGAGATTTTTTTACTGATTAATTCATAATGTTGGACATAAATTATACTTTACTTGGATTACATTGTAGAAATGTTAAAATGAGCTATGATATTTTCAATGACTAAATTTTGGTGATCACTATAAAACGACGGATGTATATGTCAGTCGTATTGCTTTACTTTATCAAACAGAACTATAAATTTATTCGAGTAACATAAAATTAGTTTTTGTTTTCTATAATTAAATCCTTATGGCGGAGAATACCATTATATATATTATGTTGGTATGCAACTTTTTTTATTCACTGAAGTCGCTTAATGCATGACAGTTTTATAGAATTAATATGAAATGTTTTGGTATCAGTTTTGTTGTTGTCGTTTGTAATAGTATATTACATTGTGGTGTACTTGAGTAGAACGCTTTAAGTTTGCACTTGACGTTTTAATTTATTTAAGTATACATGTTGTTACGCCAGATAAGCTTTCGTCAAAAATGTCTAACTATAAAATGCATAAAATTTACTCTTGCTTTATGAATAAATATTGCGTGTTCATAAAATATGTAAGTGGTCAAGATAACAGTACAAAATACATTTCACAGTAATGATTATATTCTTAAGTACATAAAAGAGTACAACAAATGTAAGTTTTAGCATGTAATTATTTATTCAAGGTTAATAATTTAAGTACCGCAAGTGGTTGAATTCAGTAACGAAAGTGGTAATAAACAAAAGAAAAATAAAGGCATAATAATCAAGTTTGATGTTAGATAAATAGGCATTTACATTAGCTTGATAAGACTCTCTTCTTAATCCAAACCATCTAATAAATAATAGAACCCTAATTAAATTTTGTTTTATTTTTTAATATTCGCAAAGGTTCTCCACCTGCCTGTTGAGAAGACAAGGTAGGTTAATAGCGGATATAAAATTTACTTTATACTCTATTATACTTCATTTTTTTTTTTGAAATTAGAATATTTATTGCTATTTTTACAAGACTTGATCTACATAACAATGGTTTTATATTGAAAATGAGCTACATTATAAAAAACACATGTTTAGTTAAATTAAACAAGTTAAGCATAGTAAACTTTTACATTGAGTATAAACGATAAATAAACACATTTTTTTGCCAAAAACATGATGTAATTTCAAAATTTATATATACCACATGGCATTACTTCAATTTAATTAGTGTATTAATTTTGGGATCAGTTTACGTATAAATAATTTTTCAACATGTTTTTCTAATAACTTTTTATACTATGGTAAGTAGAATTTAATAATAAAATTTTGGACATTATGAAAATATAAAGATAAAAAATACATATGTTGTTTTGTTTAGAATTTCGTGACTGGAAATTATAACAATTTGTCACAGTCAGGTCATTATTTTGAATATTTTTTATTCAACATAGATCAAATGACCGCCTTATAAGAATGTATATACTGACGACCTGAGCAGTGATACGACCAAGGGTGAGGTTAGAGAGTAGAACACCCCCTCAAAATAATAGCGGTTTTGAATTATAGTCGTTTTAACCATTTTATGCTAAGTTTATTTTACATATATTAAAAAAAAAATTGAACATCTAAAAAAAATTCGTTTTTTGCGCCACTAAACTAGAAGTTCATTAAGATTTAAATTTTTTTTGTTTAAGAAAACTGAATTACAAAGTATTAATTTTCTCTATCAAGAATTGCAAGTAGTTTTTTTTTGGCCTGCAGCAACACCGTGGTTTACTCATAGCATAACGACTAGCCATAATAGTATCAGATATGATTACCAAACCATAGGTGGAATTTATTTTTAAGTTAATTAATAATTTATCAAAATCAATAATATAATCAATAGTCTTTTTGGGAAGGATCAAAACCGATAAATAATTCGATTTTAGCTGTATTTATTCTCCCTGGTCACCTTATCTAGCGATCAGCCGCAGATATATTGAGTTCCTGACAGCGATTTGTCAAAAATAAAGGTTCATTTGCGTGATAAAAAAACACATATACAGACATAACAAAAAAACGGTAGCACAGTGGGGTCGCGGCATAGTGGAGACATTGCATAGTTGGGTTCAGTCTAGATTTAATCTGACAGTGATTAAAATCACTATCATAAGAAACGCTTCGATGCAAATCTGTAGATAGTGTTTAATTTTAAAAAATTGTTGGATAATTGCAAAAGCAACATCAACTTCTATTAAAATAAAATACAAAACCCATAATTTTCATACAAAAATAGCATATTTTTGAATATGGTAGCCATTTGCGTATAGAAGATAGGTCGTCGGGACAAATTTTTTTTTTTCATTTTGTAGTACATAAAATAAGCTTTAATTTTATATATGTTTAAAGGACGCAGTATTTCCGGAACATTATCAAAAAT